AGCCCCGCGTGCAGGCGGGGAGGGCACCGCACTCTCTCCGCCCCGGCGCGGCGGCCGCAGCCTATTATAGCGCGGGGGCCCGGGGCCAGGCGGCGGGGGAGGGCGCGGGAGGGGCCCGCCGGGACGGCTCGGCTCGGCTCGGCTCGGCACGGCAGGGGTCGGCGCGGCCCGTACCTGCAGGCCAGGGTCCGGGCCTTCGGTTCCGCGCCCCACAAAGACGAGGGGCCTCGCGACGCCCCGGGCGGCACCCACGGAACGCGACCTCCGGCCCCGCTGCCCCGCGCGAGCCGCACCTCGGGGCCGCTCCGCTCCCCCCGCGCCTCGGCCAAACCCCGGCCCCAAGGAGCCGTCGGGGCCCCGCCTGGGTCCTGGAGCGGGACCTCGGTCCCGTCCGCCGAGGAAACGCGTGTTGGCGGCCGTGCCATTTCCCAGGGAAACAACCCCAATCCACGAAACCCCGAGGAAGGAAACGCGGCAGGAAGGAGGGCCCGATCCTCTCGGCGGGGCTCCGGGTCGGGCGCCCCCCGCCGCGGGGAAGCCGATCGCCCCGTTTCGGTTTCCGCCGAAAAGCGACGATTTCGGCGCGGCCGCCGGGCAGGGGAAGGGGCTTCGGGGAGCGGGGCGGCAGAAGAGGCCGCAGGCGAGAGGGGCACGAGGGCCCCGCGGCCGCCCCGCCGGGCCGGGCCGGGCCGGGCTCCGCTGCGCGGCCCTGCGCGGGACGAAGCCAGCGCGATGAGCGCGGGCGGCCGGCGAGCGAACGCTGCAGCTCCAATAGTCTGGGAACGGCCCCCGGGAGCGAGGGACCGCTGGGACGCGGGGGTCCCGCACAGCATCGCCACTACCTGATTTTGCACCGCTTGCCTGCCCCTAAGACTGGCAAATACAGCCCTGAAACTGGCAAATACAGCCCTAAAATTGGCAAATACAGCCCTAAAAAAAGGCAAATACAACCCGAGACATTTCAGTAGCCACCAAGTGCCCCTTCCTGGCAGCATCACCACTATGTCAACGCAGCAGAACAGCCAGGGAGGAACACAACGAGCTGAGAAGCTGTAGGCCCCAACTTCTCTACACTTTTACTTTGTGCCTAGAATTTAGCAGAAAGGAATCACCCTTTCTGCAAAATTCTCTGCATTTAAGGAGCACTTAGATTAGGAAGGAGCACTTGCTTAGATTAGGAAAAGAGCTTATAAAACTTTTAGAAATATAGACTATTTCTAAATAGATGCTTGTTTTAAAATTGCTTTGTACAAATATATATAACAACTTTCAGAAAATACTGATATATCTATGTTATTCAGTAGCCCTTCTCGTCTTCACTTTCTGTAAAAGTGAAAAGCATTTTTAAAGGTGCCYTTTGCCTACTTTTACACATCAAATAGCTTGATATATGCTTCTCTTTTTGCTGGGGAACTCAGAAAACAGCAAGAGCTACAACAGCGCAGATGTAGCTAAGATGATGTTGCTATCAAGAAGGAAACAWATTCACCCAGCAGTTTAAAATCCTTCCTTGCGGTAGTAGTGCTTTTACCTCACTGATCAACCAGCTTTTGGGTGGAAGATGTTTTGCTTTCTTTTTTTTTTCTGAATTTTCCCCATACCAAGCCCTTTGGCTAAGTAGCCACGTCCCTCTAAAAGCAGAGAGGAGGAAGATGACAAACTGACAAACTCAAAGCGCTGGATCCGCTAGGAAACACAAYGCCTCTATGAGAAGGGGAGATGGGGTTAGAAGCCTCGCGGAGGCAGGACCCATGGCCAGCGAGGCCGCGCTTCGCTCGGAGCGCACGGAGCCCGGCACGTGCCCCTTCCGCCCTCGCGCTCCGGCAGCCCGCRGGAAGCGCTCCCGGCCGCGGGCAAGAGGGGTGACCCGCATCCTTCCCACGGCCGCTGCGCACGGGTCAGCACAGAAAGCTCCACRTCGCTCCCTTCTCGTGGCACTTAACGCTCAGGAAATCCAGCAAGTGGTCTGAGCGGAGTGGAAAATGTGACATCAGGCGCTAATTGCGAAGCAGCATTAGGGCCGGGGGAATAGCTCGGCCCTGAGTAATGCATTATGTTTAATGGCTGAGTAAAGTTTCATCAGCATTTAAACACGTATCCCCCTAAACTAAAAATGATTTTCTGCGAACACCTGGCCTCGGCAGACAGCTTGGCTGTGTAATTACCTCGGAAAGTCGCACTCGGCTGTGGCGTGAGGCTTGTGCGAAGTGGGCCCTGTCTGCAGGCGCCCCAGGCGGGTCCCATGTGCCCGGCTGCCCACGTGCGAGGCCGGCACCGGGCACAGCGTTCGCCTTGGCGGTGCCATCCACCCTCGCAGGGCCTTGTCATGCGCCCGCCTCACTGGAGTGACCACGTGCTTGCTAAGGACAGTGGTTTTCATCTCCTCTTCCTTGGCACCTCTCTATTTTCCAGTATGCCAGGAACGATGAACGATGGGCAAGTGGCATTCTGCAAAAGACGGTCACGTTTGGTTTAGTTTTCAGTTCTTAGGCTTGGAAAGGCACCTCAGTGGCGAGGCACAAACGTGATCAGCATTTCAGGCAGTTTTTCCTCACGTCTCTCTCCCCTGCGAGCTAACTTGCAGCACAGCTTACAAAGAGCCGGGCGGGTTCGGAGGCTTCCCTTGCCAGCTCCGACCACAGCACCGCRGCTGCAGCCAAGGAAGGGTCGGAACCGACGTCGACCGCCTTCGGTCTCTCTGCAGAGCTGCTGCCAGCCCCGAGCGGAGCAACTGACACCATCTCCCCGGTCTCCCGCAAGACCCTGGGGTGGCCGCCGCCTCGTGCCGGGTGCAGCAGCGGGCCCCGGAACGCAGGAACCCCCCAAATCCCTCGCGCGGCTCCGCGGGGGCAGCGGCGCTGGGAGCCACGGCCGGGGGGAGGCCGGGGCCGCGCCGGGCACACGCAGCCGCACGCAGCGCGCGGGCCCTGCGAGCCGCCCTCGGGACACGCCTGGCTGGGCCCTGCTAAAACACGGGCGCGTAAATAAATACACTAAACCTTAAACTGTAGTGATGGCCGCCCTGACCGCTTCTAGACGCTAAATCAGTTTCATACGGAAAACATTGACTTTGCCCTTACCACTCTTGAATTAGATTAAATCAAGAAAGGAGTACATCTGCTGCAAAATTAAAGGTTCCTTTAATGATATCACATTAGCCCCTGTGCTGTAAACACTTTAGTGCGTGCTTGGGTTTTCACTGTGTACACAGTTGACTGACTGGAATAGGACTGTTTATAGTTCATAAAATTAAGTTAATGACTACAGCTGTGCCGAGTCGGGGCCTTCGTTTTCAAAAGCGAGAGAAGCAGCGGAATTAAATCGCGCGCTCCTCGGTTTTACAGCTGCCCTCCAGTCAGTCTGGGCTCCTAGTTCTCAAGCACTGCATCTGATCTGGATGGTTTGGGTTTAYAGACCAGCAGGGAGAGATGTTTAAGTCATTTAACACAATAATGGCTAATTAAAACATTTTACTTTAAAAATAACAAGTTGGTTTATACATATTAAAATTACATAAATGGTGGCTTCACAGTCTCTCCTAAGCACCATACAGCCAGTTAAAAACGCTACGTTGGAGAGGCACACGAAACAGCTTTCCTTGAATGCCAGTCAGTACAAAACAGTTAAACGGTGAAAGGCTCCTTTCCGTTAGCTTATTTGTTAAGTGGCTTTTGATGCCTTTGTGTGCTCTGCTCGCAAACACGGGTACAAATATATTAGAAAGCTCCTGCAGCGCAGAGCAAGGGCAGAGCCCCTTCCCGCTCCCGGGAAGCCGCAGGCCCCGCAGGAGGGTCTGCAGCCGATCAAACCCACCGAGACGTTCCCAAACGGGGGCCGGGGACCCGGGGCTCCCCCGCGGCCCCGCCCCGCGCGAGGCCGTGACGTCACCGCGAGCGGCGCGGCGCCCTCTGCCGACCGCGGCGGCGCACGTCACAGCGCGCGCGTGACGTCACGGCGCCGTGCTCCCCCCCTGCAACGTCACAGTGCGCGCGTGACGTCACGGCGCCGTGCTCCCCCCCCGCGACGTCACAGTGCGCACGTGACGTCACGGTGCCATGCTCCCCCCCACTCCCGCCCCGCAGTGGGTTCTCAAGGGCAGGACCCTCTAGGAGCGCGAGGAAGAGCCTTGGGATCTGGCGTTTTGTAAACCCCGACCTTCTCATCCCCCCTGTGCGTTAAGGAAATCCCTTCTGGTGCTCGTGCGCCTCTAACATCTGAAACGACGGAATCGATACCATATGAGGGTAGAGGGGCGAAGGAAATCACAGCCAAAAGGGCGCCGCAAAACTGCAAAGCCCGGGTTTAGGATTGCCCGCTGCGACTCAGGATTTTGTTTAGACATTGGTGTTAACACTTCACAGGGACTGTGCGCAGTACAGATTACAACAGTATGTACTGTGTAGTGAATAATTTATGAGCTATTAAACTTAATTCTTATGTTTTGAAGTTGTGAGTTATGACTGGACAGAACCTAAACTAGCAGCAAATAGAGGATTTTTTTTTTTTCCTCGCTTTGGATTAAAGTAAACCTGCTGTGTATGTAGGGAAAAAACCCAGCCAAAAACTTGCATACTGACTCTCAGCAAATTGATAGCTCAGGCAGCATAACTTTGAAGACCTCCAATGTCCAACACACGTATAATCTGTGTTAGTGGAGTTGTGAAACAGGGATGATGTGACTTGCTTCCCGGAAGGATGCCCACGGGAAAGGCGGAGGGATCCCTGACCTAGAGGGATGCCAGGGAACATGCCAGGTGTTTGGACGACACCAGCAGCGCGGGCACGGACGTTCACAGATTTCACACAATCCTAGCGGCGCTAGCTCTGCTGCTGA